CCTGTCTGTCTCATCTTGGTAGTCAGTATACTTTGTATTCACATGTAATTATGTAAAAGCTTTCCTAAGATAGAGCAGAAAGCTTTCTGTTTCCCATGAAAGCCTCAAAAACAGCTGAGCGGCTGGGAGTGCCTCCCCATCACTCAGCTGTTTCAGGTTGTCTTCTGCTTTCCCTTTAAAGTTTAAATGGACTGTTAAAGTTTGAAAGGATAGCACAGGACAGCCCAAAACAGCTGAGAGGCGTGGAGCAGGCTGCTCCTGTTCACTCTGCTGTTTTTCAGGCTTTTTGCAAACCCCGTTTAAAGGGACTGTGGTCCCTTTCAGTGGGGTTTGTGGGGCCACAAACCAGTTCAGTTTGCGAATGAACCAGTTTGATTCATGGTTCAGTGCATAGTTCAGCTACGAACTACATTTTTACAGTTCATGCCTATCCCTAGTCCCTAAACTTGTTAAGTCCATAATATAATGGTGCATAAATATACACAAAAAGTGTATATTTGCTGCCATGATAGTATTTTTCTGCTCATCTGCTGAGGAGCAATTGAGTTTAGTTCATTAAAAGCAATATTCATCCATGAAAAGCTATCACAAGCAGGAAATACAGTGTGCCCAGTTCTTAACGAGCAATCTATTATTTAATTCAATCAAGTATTTTCTTTGGTGACCTAATATTATCTGTTTGTTTTATCTTAAGCTACTAGACCAACTTTCTTTTAAAATTTGCTTTCATTTGTCAGCACATTGGTGTCCAGCCTAACCCTAGCAGAAAATACATTTTGATAAGCCCCCAAAACTTTGAAAAAATAATCTGGGGATGATGCTGTCCCCTTTCTTCCCACTGTAAAGTAACCCAAAGTTCTGCCTTATAAAGTGCATGGGCCAGTCTTTTAGCTTTATAAACAAATGAGGCAGGTTTCACCAAATTATCTCCCTCAGAGGCAGCAAATTTCAGTATAGTGTTAGCTGACACAAAGCCCTAAAAATGGTGAGATGCGCCGTCCAGGAAACTTATCCCAAAAGGAAATTGGCCAATTTTAGAAAGTATTTAAAAACTAAACAGTTGTCTTGTGGCGTGTTTATCATTTTAATCCAGCATACATTTGAGCATAAACTAGGATAAAATTTTTGTTAATCTTTAAAATGCCACAAGATCCCTGTTTGCTTTTGCTGCAACAGACTAACACAGCTAGATGTCTGGACTTTTGAACAGAGAAATCATGTACAGTTTGCACTAAGTATATTGAAATAATACCTGTTTGGCTACAGCTACCTAACCAACAGGAACGTTTGGAACAGGAGAAGATAATATATCCCAAAGCCATCATGACCCACCTGTTTCCAGCCCTCTTTTCAGGGCAGAAAAGGGTCCTCTCTGACATAGTGCAGAGAATGGTGGTCACAGGCAAAGGAATCCTGGCTGCAGATGAATCTGTGGGGGTACTATGAGTAACAGACTGCAGCGGATCAAAGTGGAAAACACGGAAGAGAATTGCCATGTCTTCCAGGAGATCCTCTTTTCTTCAAATTCTTCCATCAGTCAGCAAATCAGGGGAGTTACTTTAATAATAATCTTTCAATTTATTAATCGCTCAATCCTGCAGAGCTTGCTGGCTCTGAGCGATTTACAGTTACTCATTCACGCGGGACTAACAATGATTTATGGGGGTAAGGGAGGACAACATATATCTTTTAAATCACACATATCCACAGTCGGCGAGGGTTTGCTCAGCTGCAGGGTCAGACGTATCCCGTCGGCATATTCACTTTGGCTCGGCTAGATGACATCAGCTTCTCCAGGTCTTGCAGCGCCGCACTGCCACCGCCTGGCCGGAACGGCCCATTACAGGCTTCTCGGAGTCGAGATTTTTTTTCTTTAGGCTTTCAATCTCGCGAGGTGAGCATTCCCATTTTATCTACTCGCCGAAGCTTTCGAACCGCTGGGTGGACAGCGAGCTAGGGACAAGGCTGGTAGCTCACATCAACACGGGGCTAGAACTGACAGCCGTACTGTTCAGCTCAGATGTTACTAACCAGAGGATAAATCCTCTGTGCCACCGCTCCCTACTTTCCTCTACGGGACCTTCTATCAGAAGGACAGTACTGGAAAGCCCTTCCTAGCCATCATCAGGGATAAGGGCATAGTGGTTTGAGTCAAGCTGGATAAAGGCATGACCCCATTGGCAGGAACTAATGGAGAAACCACCATTTAAGGTCTGGATAACTTAGCTGAACACTGTGCCCAGTATAAGAAAGATGGTGCAGATTTTGGCAAGTGGTGCGCTGTGCTGAAGATCACCGATACAACTCCATCTCCTCTTGCCATCCAGGAAAATGCCAACGTTAGCATGTTACGCCAGTATTTGCCAACAGCATGGTCTAGTCTCCATTGTGGAATCTGAGATCCTACCTGATGGAGACCACGACCTTCAGCACTGCCAGTATGTGGCAGAAAAGGTGTTGGCTGCTGTTTACAAATGATCACCATGTCTACCTGGAAGGAACTCTGCTGAAGCCCAACATTGTGACCACAGGGCATGCTTGTTCCAAGAAGTATACCCCTGAAGAGGTGGCCATGGCGACTGTCACAGCCCTCAGTCACACTGTCCCTGCTGCTGTTCCTGAGTTCTGCTTCGTTTCTGGAGGCCAAAATGAAGAGGAGGCTTCCATCAACCTCAATGCCATCAATCTGTGTCCCCTGCCAAAACCTTGGAAAATGACTTTCTCCTATGGACGGGCCCTGCAGGCATCGGCTGTAGCTGCATGGGCTGGCAAAAGCGAGAATAGATAGATGCAAAGGTGCTTGTTGTTTCAAGTCAGCTTCTCAACAGACTGTGTTACGTGATCTTTTCCTTTTGGGGTCTCTTATTTCAGCTGCAGGGAGGAATGACCTGAATCCATGCTAGCATGGATCTAGTATGTGTAACTTATAGTAAAAAGTGATTGACTGGCTATGGCATTGCTCTTTCGGGAGGTGGTGTATTGGCTTCTGCAGGCTAACTTCCATCAACCTCAATGCCATTAATCTGTGCCCCCTGCCAAAACCTTGGAAAATGACTTTCTCCTATGGACTGGATCTAGTATGTGTAACTTGCAGTAAAAAGTGATTGACTGGCTGTGGCATTGCTCTTTCTGGAGGTGGTGTATTGGCTTCTGCAGGCTAAACAGTTAATCTTTGTTCGGGTGCAGAGGGCATCCTGCACAGCCTTCTTGTTCTTCAGTATGGGAGCTACGGTGGCTCAAGTGGTTAAGACACTGAACTGCAGGCTGGAAGGTTGGTAGTTCAGCAGTTCAAGACCCAAGTGCCGCATGACAGAGTGAGCTCCCGTCTCTGGTCCCAGCTCCTGCCATCCTAGCAGTTATAAAGAAAGAAATTGCAAATAGATAAATAGGTACCGCTTCGGTGGGAAGGTAACAGCGTTCCGTGTGCCTTGGTGTTTAGTCATGCCAGCCACATGACTGCGGAAACATCTTTGGACAGCGCTGGCTCTTCGGCTTGGAAACGGAGATGAGCACCGCAACCCTAGAGTCGGATTCGACTGGCTTTCGAGCAAGGGAAACCTTTACCTTTACTATTCTTCAGTACAAAGCTAACATAGCCTCACCACATCCTCACACCTCAAAGAAATTGGGTTGGTTTTATGGATCAGTCCTTCACTGACTTTAATTCTCTCTGAAGACAGCTGGGCTGTCATTGTCACCAGGAATGAATAAAAAAATTCAGCCTCAAAAACAGAAACCTAGAGAAAAAATTGTTCATTGTCCGTCTTCATGTGCAGTCTGGCTGCGGGTACTAATTCTCTAGCTTTAAAATTCTACAACTGAGTGGTCCGCCCATAATTTAAACTGGGCACATGTGGGAATTCCCACCAAAAGTATCACGTGCTCTAGGGCAGACCATCCCCATTCCTTCAGTTCCTTTTTTGCCACCACGAGTTTGGTTCACCTCTAGCTTTGCTCCTCTCCCCCCCCCCTGTCGCAACCATTGGTTCTGAGGCATTTTCTCTTCCTTCAGTGATGATTTTTCTTCTCGGCTATGAAGATCAATGGATCTTGTGATTACGGTGTCTAAAGCCTTGTTTAAAAAGTGCTCACAATGTGGGTTAAAAATGACTTCGACCAACCAACATGACTGTTGTTTAATTCGCCTTGGTGAGGGGCACAATGTGTTCAATTGCGAGATCTGTCAAAACTTTACTCCAAAGGCATGGGCAGATAGAGGTGCGCATTTGAAGGCCGTCCTCCGGGAAAGAGCGCTTTCTTCCTCATCGCTTCCCGACAAGCCTACTTGAGGACAGAGCCGCTTGACCTTGGATCCAACTCTGGGTCCAGCACTGATACCTACCTCAAAACCTCCATTGGATAAATCAGTTCCGACGGTACCGACCTCGATTCTGCCTATACCACCCAAATGTGTCAGTTCCAGGCAGGAGAGGATGTATATATTGCTAGGTTTTTGGTTTATACTACTGTTGGAGACACTTTACTGGACTAGATGGATCTTTGATCTGACCCAGCGAGGGGGGGTGTCTTCAACCGTATGGCTCCATAGCTGAAACAAATGTTTCATTAGACTTATCTTCTTTTAATGAATCCATGATTCAGCCTAAGTTATTTCTCGTAAGACTGTGACTGGACTTATAATAATAATGATACTGATCTCTCTCTCTCTCTCTCTCTCTCTCTCTCTCTCTCTCTCTCTCTCTCTCGGCAGCACAGATAGTCCTGATTTCTCTGTTTGAGCTGAATACTCCTGAGTTTACCATGTTACTTGGTGCCTTGCCAAAAACATTCCAGGATGGTGCTACCAGGCTACTACACAACCACCTCAAGAATTCCAGTAACACTAGTGTGGTGAGACTGTTATGTATCAGTTCCATAGAAAACAACTTCTGGCATTAATTAACTTAGCTCTTGAATTATGTAAAGGCACACTTGCCATCAAGGTATGTGGTTTATAGGAGGGTACAGATGGCAGCTTTGATAAACAAATACTGTAGTCCTAAGAACACGTTCCTGGAAGTAAGCTCCACTGAATAAAATGGGACTTACTTCTGAGTAGACCTACTTAGGCTTACTCCATTCAAGAGTAAGTATGGCTTGGAGAAGGCATTTAAAGGGACTGTGATCCCTTTAAACACCCTTTAAGTTGATCTATCCAGCAGTCCTGAAAAGCCCAAATATTTTCGGGATTCTCCCGGCTTGGCCATTTCGGATAGGCAAATGATATCCGAAATCTATAAGAGACTGAATTAATACCTGAAAAATACCAGTAAGGTATTTTTCGGCTTAGATTTAGCTGAATGCACCCCCCCTACTTAACACACAAGCTAGTAATAAATATCAATATTGTTTAAATCAAAAGATATGTGAAATCAGTACCAGATTATTTCATGCTTTGCTTTTCCCTCATCCTGTGATACATACCGTTTTCTTTATTTTCATTGTGGGTTTTTTGCTTTTATGTTAGGGTTCTCCTAGCAATACAGTGGGTCGAACTTCTTCACGGCATCCTAGCAGCAGAACCAGCCCATTAACTTCACCTACCAACTGTTCTCATGGAGGACTGTCTCCAAGGTAATACTGTAGCTTAATTTAAAGAGTTACATAAATATGAGATGCTTTCAACCATGAAACGTTTGTCGAGAACAGCAATACAAGCAAAGATCTAGCTTATCTGTACCATAATAAACCCTTGAATTGTCATTTTATTCCACAGAACACTAAATGTGTATTTTAAGATCATGTCTAAAAGTTGGAAGGCGGTGTACCAGCACATCTGTGTTTTAGTTGCAGACAGATGTGCTCAACTTTTTATCACAGGCTAGTCACATAAAGGATTTGTTGATACATTTTTTGTACTTTGCTGTGCCACCGAATGATAATCATGTATTAAAAGGTTTCTCTCAAAGAAGGTCTAGAAAAGGAGGTGTTTGGGGAACCTGATCAGCAAACTGGGAAGAGATTAGTAAGTTATCTTAGTTTATTTTATTCAAAGGACTACAAAGGAAACTGAAAGACCTTGCCTAAAAGCTTACAGTGTCTTTGTTCACATGATGTAAGAGGGAAGAGTGGAGTATATGTAAAAGGAGGTCAGAATATTATAGTGGTTCTGGCAAGAGATGTCTGTGGGTGTGTTCAGAGCAGCATTGCTTGAAAGCATGGTGGTGTGGTAGACTTTTCAGGTAACCGTTCCCCCCCCCCCCTTGGTGCTAGCCCTATTCCAATGCCAAATCTTTCAAAAGAGATACTGTGAGTAGTCTTGCTGAAGCTATACATCTCTCCCTGGACTTAGCATAGACATAGAAAAGTTCTGTGAAATGGTCAGGACTTTGTTGACGGAGGGGTAGTTTCATTAGTGCCCGCTGTCCTATAGAAAATGGCTTCAATAATACAGCGGAAGTACCTTTAAAAAGTTAAATAATGGCTTCTGCGCCGTCCCACCATGGAGAGGAGCTAGCAACCTTCTTTAAAGAATTTCCCAGACTCCCAAGAGTGTTCCCCCCTCCCCACTCAGTGCAATTTCCCGTCACATGATATGGGAAGGGGAAGGACTCTTCCCTCAGTTTTCTCTTTATTGCCAACGAGAGCAGTGTAGTAGTGGATGGATACAAGTTGTTTGAAGGAAAACCAAAAGGGTCAAAGAGGAGGCGGAGTGGCGCTGTATCTGAGGAGAAGGTTTGTCAGGAAATACTGGAGGGGGAGGGCAACAGCCCAGTGGAAAGTATCTGGGTGAGGATAAGGGAAGGAAGGAAGGACAAACAGTATTGTGGTCGGAGTCTGCTACAGACCTCCTGACCAGGATGAGGAGGTGGATGCTGCCCTCCTTGAACAGCTTGACAGGGTATCCAAACAACATGACCTGATAGTTATGGGTGACTTCAGCTTCCCTGATGTGTGCTGGGAGAGAAACTCTGCAAAGCATCTGCAGTCATGCAACTTCCTGACCTCTCTGGACGGCAACTTCCTTCATCAAATGGTGGAAGAAGCTATGAGGGGCTCAGCCATACACGACTTTATATTGACCAACAAGAAAAAGATCGTAGATGAGGTGAAGGTGGTGGGGACCTTAGGGGGAAGTGACCATGTCTTGCTAGAATTCCTTTTGCTGTGGGGGGCCAAGGAAGTTTGTAGTCACGTGTGTATGTAAGTTTTCAGTAAGGCAGACTTTGAGTTTATTAAAGGTATGATGAGAATCATCCCATGGGCAAGACTGCTCTTAAAGAAACCAACTCTGGACCCAATTGTCCTAGCAACTACCGCCCAGTTTCAAATTTACTGTTGCTGGGTAAGGTAGTTGAGAGAGCGGTGGCTGAACAACTCCAGTCTTTCTTGGATGACGCATCTATCCTTGACCCCTTCCAGTCCAGTTTCCGCCCTGGTCATGGGACAGAGACAGCGCTGGTCGTCCTTACGGATGACCTCCGGAGGCACCTGGATTGGGGCGGGTTGGCACTCGGCTCCTCTGTAATTGTTAGATATGATCTTATGATCCACTGCCTCGCCGACACTGGGGTTCAGAGGACTGCCCTTCAGTGATTTTCCTCTTTTCTTCTCAGTTGGAGACAGAGGTAGAGATGTAAAATTTCCGGAAATTTTGAAGCTCGGGGGGGAAAACTGTTTTTTCCTTGGGAAAACCAGAAATTTTTGGAAAAATTGAAAAAAAAATGCTACATTAGCTCTTCTTTTTTCTTTTCCAGATTGAAAATCATTCTGTTACTTTAGGAACATAAAATATGACTATGGACAATTTTACTTGGCATGAAATTATCACAACTAGCATATTTATTATTTACACAAAGGTTATAAAGATAAACTAATGTAGCTAAATGATTCAGTTTTCTAGAATCAGATAAATGTAAACTCTTACCTTTTTAAGTTAAGTATATTTTATTCATCATATTGAAATAAAACATTCCATAATCAATCCCCCCCCCCCATTTTTCCAGTTTTTCGGAGGAAAACAAAAAAGGCTTCAGGGGAAAAAATAGGGGGGGGGGAACGTTTTTTTTCTGAATTTTTCCAGTTTTTTTCCGGGCCTTCACATCTCTAGACAGAGGGCGGCGCGACAACCCACTTGAATGTGATGTGCTGCAGGGGACGATCCTCTCGCCAATGTTGTTTAACATCTACATGCAGCCCCTCACCCAGTTGGTCCAGGGGGGTTGGGGAGTCATCAATATGTGACACCCAGCCAATGCTCCCTCTAAGCTGTGGAGTCTTGTGAGCAAAAATCCTACGTTGTGAGCTACTGGCATTAAAGGTGTGAGCGAGCGATCTGGCTGCTGCATCAATTCGTTTGCTCTGGAGCCCTCCTTCCTGAGCGAAGATAAAAATGTGTGAGCCAGAGGCTAAAAAACTGTGAGCTAGCTCACACTCACTCAGCTTAGAGGGAACACTGCACCCAACTCATATCTGTTTTGGACGGCTGCCCAGACTCCATCCCAGAGATTCTGACTGGGGCATTGGAGGCAGTGGCTGGTTGGTTTCAGCAGAGCCAGTTGAAACTCAATCCAGTGAAGAGAGAGGTCCTGTACCTGAGTCGAGATGGGGTGGGGGAGTTAGGACGGGGATTGGGCTTCCCAACGTGGATGGTGTGCCAGTTGCACTGGCTCAGAAGGTAAGGTACCTGGGCATGATCCTGGATGCCTCACTTTCTATGGAGGGCCCAGGTCACCACAGTTTTCAGGTCTGCCTTTTTCCATCTCTGGCAGATAGAGGCAATTCCCCCCCCCCCCCAGGACTTGGCTACAATGACTAGGGTTGCCCAGTCCATCTTCCGCCCCCAGTGGGGGACTTTGGGGGCATTCGTGGAGGGGACGGGGCATCCCCGACGTGATGACGTCATCACGTCGGGGACGTCCACTGCCCCACCCGCGTGCTCGCTCTCCAGAAAGGCCAGTTCCCTGCACTTAAAGGAGCCAGCGTTTCCCTTTTAAGTGCACGGAGCCAGCGTTTCCCCTTTAAGAGCAAAGCTCACACTAACTCAGCTTAGAGGGAACACTGATTCAGACATAAATCAGAAATGGTCCATAACCGACCCTTATCTTCAACCAGTTTTCAAAGAGTGGGGCTATCCAGAAGTCAGTCTTTCTGCCTCAAGCGTCAACAGAAAGTGCCACCTGTTTTGTTCCAGGGCAGCAGTTGGCAGGTTTCACTTGAGGATGCATTCCAACTGCATTGGCATGGCTGCCTATTCTATGCCTTTTGGGGTTTTGCACAGAGTACTGGCCAAAATAGCAACTGACCGAACCTCATGTGTTCTTCTCACCCCGTTTTGGCCAAGAAGAGTGTGGTTCCCGACTCTGTGGAGACTCCAGCCCACAAACTCCTTCACATAGGCCCTATATTGCACCCAGAAATCCGGACCTTGCATCTGTCAGCTTGGCTGATTCTGCATTGGGGGGGGGGGCTTCCCAGAGGGGTACAAATGTTATGATTGCCTGTAGGAGATCCTCTACATTTAAATCCTATGCTGCTAAGTGGAAAAAATCTCAGAATGGGCAGTACAGCAAGGACTTGACCTTGTTAATTGTGTGTTGCCAAAATTTTTTGATTACTTATTGGTGGTCTAGCCTTGTCTTCTGTTAAGGTTCACCTAGCCGCAATGTCAGCTTTTCATAATGCTGTTGGTACATCTTTGGTGTTCTCTGCTCTGGAATCCTGGAAATTCTTTCAGGGTTTATATAATTTGTTCCCTCCCTCTGTCTGCCCTCTCCCACAGTGGAGTTTATCTCTTGTCGTATCCAAATTAATGCATACAATTTTGAGCCTATGGCCACGTCTGAGTTGTCATTTCTTTCCTTTAAGACCACCTTCCTAGTGGCGATCACCTCCACATGTAGGGTGGAAGAGTTGAGCTCTTCAAGATGTGACCCACCCTTTACCAAATTTCATGCAGACCAAGTGGGCCTGAGGCCTAGCCTGGACTTCTTCCCCAAACTGGTTTCTAGATTTCATATCAACCAGGATATCAGTTTTCTTTCCTTCCCCTACATCCACTGCGGAACAAACTCTGGCACACACTAGATGTCAGACGAGCACTTCTGGTGTCAGTTTAAAAGCTCTGTTGATGAATCTCCCCAGGCTCCTGACAAACACATTCTTCCCCAACCCTAATAGGTGAAGTCCATCATGTCCATCATGTACTGTCACATTCCTCTTCCTCTGACAGGAATGGTCACATGTGCCACCATTCCCTTCAGCTTTCTCCCAAGAGCTTCATAGTCAGCCCTAGTGCTTGTGATAGGGTTCACTGTTAATTCCCATGTGGATCATCACAATCAGTTTTGGCATTTAGTCTGCAATATCTTTAATCTTTGCCCCTGGTAAGCAACACAGCTCTCAGGCTAGGGGGTCAGGCCGGCCCTGGACACAGGACATTTCATGCCCCTCAGCAGAGAGTCGCCGATGACCAACACTTTCCTTTTCCTTCCAGTGCCACATCTTCATATCCCCATGCCCTCCTTTCTCCGTCTTTCTTGTCCTTGTGGTTCTTCCTGTGCCAGTGTTTCCATCTCAGTCGCCACCAAGGGCCTGGAATCAGTTCCTGAGTTTCAGTGGCACACTGAGTGCCA